CTTATCAGGTTCATAATCTGCATCAACTTCCTTGAGATTGCTAGATTCATGAAAAGGAAATTCTTCAGCAAGCTCACTGTTTAGACCTTCTCTCTGAATCTAAAGCTGCCTTTCCATCTAAGAATCTTTTTTTTTTTTGCAACTTCTCAATTCTTCTGGACTCATCAAAAATCACATGACCACCTTATTATATGCCCGATAAGCCATGCTGGAGGAAGAGTATCCCACAAATACTCTTTCAACATCATTGAGATTACACTTCTCAATATCATCATTTTGGTCACAAAACATGTACTATTCACCATTTCAGCCCAAAAGTCCTTTGGAATATTAACAGCCTGTATATTCCACTTGAAGGATGGTCTGATCTGCTTTCTTTTAACACAAGAATCACAAACTTTGTCATCTGTAAATTTTATTTTGAGTAAATCAAGGACCAGGTCCCTTGACACAAGTTTGTGCAGTAGAGAAACATTCACAAGAGCTCGTCTCTCATGTCATACCTCATCATTCTCACTTTGAGCACTAAGGCAAGTGAGACTGCCACAACGAACAATAATCAGATCAGCAATACACATGTTCTTGCATCTCTTTTCTATCAAGATCATCGCCCGAGAAAGCAAATTTGTGACGACATGTTCTTTCCGATAAGAAAACTTTATTTCATTCATCACAAATCTATGAAATACTTAAAAGATTGTACTTCAACCATTGACATAGTACACATTCTCAATAGTGTGTTCCATAGATTTCCCAATCATGCCTTCACAAAAAAAATACCTTTTCTGGCATCTCTAAATGAGACACCTCCAGCTTGAAGTGCCTTGAGAGAGAAAAAGTTTTCAGTTTCCCAGTCACATGCTTTGAGCATCCGTTATTCATGAACCAACACACACTGACTGCTGCTACTTCTTCTCACAAGAATACCATATCACTTGTTTGCCTTGGGAACCTACTTTACTTGGAGTCCCAGTAAGCAGATAAAGAAGTGATAAGAGAATTCTTTGTCCAGTGAGGCAGATTGATTTTTTTCAACTTAGGAACAGGAGCACGACTAGGTCCCTTTTTCTGCCAGTTCTTCTGTTGACTAGGTCCTTTCTTCTACTTATTTCTCTATTGACCAGGTCCCTTTTTCTTCCTGTTCCTCTGTTTAGAATATTTTGAGAGGTTATCTTGGGTCCTTTTCCAAGCTGGACAATCCTTCTTCAAGTGACCATCGCGACCACAATGGAGACACGGCAAACTATCAGACATGGACACATCTTTGCCATGAAGATTGTAAGAAGGACTTTTGCTTGAATTTCCTAACCCCTTCCTATCATTTTGACCTTGACTGGTAAGCTTTGCAAGCAATTTTGATGAGTTGGTCAACTTGAGAGATTTGTTCAGTTCTTCTTCGACACGGACCAGGTCCCTCTCTAACTAATTATTTCTCTCCAAGGCCATAGCAAGTTTTGATTCAGCAGTATTAAAACTGGTTTTTAGCTCGATTTGCAAGCTGCTTGCTTCCCCCTTACCGCTGCCACATTTCTCACTCAGCATTTTAAATTTTTCCCTAAGTTTTAGATTTTCAACTTTTAGAACTATCACTTGTTCTTTCACAACATACATTTGGTCAAACAAGGCTATTTTTTCTTCATGAAGGATACCTAGGCTATTGTTCATCAGATCCTTTTCAGTTGTCAACTCAATGAAAGAGGTGATCAAAATAGCGGCTAGACTTCTCAACTTCTTAACACAGTAAACATGCAAGTTTTGTTTAAGATCAGAAAGGGTTACCTCTTCTTCATCTTCCTCATCATCAGATTTTGCCATAAAGGCTTCATCAGAGTGCTCAGAGTCATCTGAAACACTCGAAGAGTCTTCCCATGCAGTCATATCCCTCTTTACCGTCTGGAAAAAAGTTTCACTTTTGCTACTGCTGGCACAGACCTAGTCCCCCTTTTGGTCTTTTACTTCCTTGTGATCAACTTCAAGCACATGACAATCTCTCATGGTGTGACCTGATTGATCACACTTGTAACACATGTCACTAGAGCTTGTAGCGTTGTCATGAGCTTCTTCCTTCATGAAACCTCCACGTTTACTCACAAGTGTTTGAAATATTTGAGTGAGATAGTCCATGGTCTCATCGACTTCAAGGTTCTCACATTGTGACACCTTGGAGGCTAGTGATTCATCCCTTTCTGCTTCTCTCTTCTAATCAACATCCCCAGTCAGATCTGCCCTTGTTTCCTCATAGGTAGTTCTCAGCAGATCCCAAATTTTCTTTAGCTGATTCGCACGAAGAAATCAGATTATATACATTAGGTACGATTCCACACATTAAGAACTTCTTAGCCTTGTGATTTTCTCAACTTTCTGTTTGTCAAATTCATTGTATTGCTGTCGAGTTTTGACAAAGACCCTTGTGACATCCCCATATTTTACTTCTATAGATGGCACATAGGGACCCTCACAAATAACATCCCACAACTCACAGTCTTCAGCCATTATGAAGTCAAACATGCAATGTTTCCACCACCGATAATACAGACTATCAAACAAGGGTGGCCTTGTTGAAGACCGACCTTCTTGCCATCTCAGTGGAGTAGCCATTCTTTCCACATAAATCTCTCTTGGTGTTAACCAGCTAGAGAGCACCTGCTCCGATACCACTTGTTGGAATGTATGCATCCACTTGTTTCGATGGGTCCAGGTCCTCAGCACAGTTACAATAACAAACAGTAAAATAAGTGCTAAAAGTAAAGATTGAACAAGCAACTTTACGTGGAAACCTCCTTACTCAAGGGAGTAAAACCACGACATGTCTCACAGGACTTTTCAAACTGCTTCCACTCATCTTCTCCAAGCAAAAGTAAAAGCCAGTTTACAAAATGAGATTAGCCTGGTAATCTCCACACTAAGCAATACCTCCTATCACTTAGTTGAGCCAGAGCAGATACAACACTGCCCACTATACTAACCCTCACTGATTAATATAGACTTTTCTAAGCGGATACCACACCGCCCACTAAACCACATAACTATAGATGATTTAGAATTTGATTAAGCAACACACAGGTTGCCCACTAAACCACCACCCTTTGGACGATTTACACTTTTAGAAACCAAAACAAGATCTAAATCCTTTATAGATTAGGAACAAATTTACAATGTAAGCACAGAAGTATATCTCCTAAGACACACTATGACGCTTGCAACTCGATCAGGTCCTTGTTGCGCTTGTCGGAGAATTCTTCACCAATATGGTCTTTGCCTTTATACTTGAGAATTTTCAAGATGCAAAGACTGACAAAACTCAAACTCAATAAAGACGTTTCAACACTCTATCAGGTCCTTTTGTTGAGCATGAGTATTGTTCTTCCTTGAAGATGGCCTTCTTTTCAAGATTCTGAATTTTCAGAGAAAATCCAAGTTTTGTTTGCCAAATATTGAGTTTGTGTATTTTGGGAAGAGACTATATAAAATCAACACAAACTCGTTGAGACAACCATATTTGCTGAAAGCCTGTTGTTCAGAAAAGTTGCTCACCTACCACATCAGAGGTGGCAGCTTTTCTGACGTCTGTCTTGTCACCTTTTCATATCGCAGTCTTGCAGGGACCAGGTCCCTTGCAAACTTCTTTGTGGGTTCTTGAAAAGGCTTGCTGGTTGACTTCCTTCTTAGAATGAATGAATTAAAAATGGTGTTTTTCATGTATAAAATATCAACCATAAAGAGTTATTACCCATTGGACAAACACCCTCGTCCATTCTGATTGGTGTAGTTCGTTGACACCTCACCAACCTCTGACACGACAGCTTTACAACTGTACCCCATTATAGATCTGGACGAGAGAGCTTTGCCTGGGACCAGGTCCCTGCATTTGTGAGACACTGAAGCATACAATCTCGTTCGCTCTTCCTATTGGTGTAGGACACTGCACTTTTCACCTACCACCTGACATGACAACTTTACAATTGTACTCCATTTGTATCTAGACGAGAGCACTCTGCCAGGGACCAGGTCCCTGCATTTGTGAGGATCATCAAAACACCTAGAATATAACACAAAGTCTCGTTCATTCAAGAATGTGCGCTATGATACTACTCGTGATCTTCGTAAGCGGGAAGCAAGATCAACGAACATATCCTCTTTGCATTGTATCGTGAGACCACCCATGGGATGATCAAAGCCAAACTCTTCTTTAGCCTGAGCTAAAAAATCTTGAAATAAAGGTTGGCTCAAGTAAGAGACTGGCACGACGAATCTCTTCTTCTGGCTCTCTCCTATGTATATTGCACAATGTCCTTTTGGAATACCTCCATATGTTGAAGACCTCCTTAAGAACCGATTAGCTTGAACAAATGGAGGTACTTTGATACCCATTGTCTCAAGGAATATTTTCTAATTCTAAATGATGAAGGAAAAGAAAGAAAAAAAACTTGGAGGATCACGGATAAAATGAAAGTTCTTTGAATGTCAGGATACTTGTGCTCTGCTGAAATGTTTGGCTCTGATTATACATAAATTTATGACAAGTTTCATATCCAAATGCTTAGTGGTTGAGAGAAATTGGTGGCAACTGGAAAGACAATGACACATGAAATTTCACATGGTTTGCCTTCTCTGTTGTTGTTAAAGTATTCAGATCATAAATTTGTTAGATGTACAACATTAGGCCCTACTACTTCTCATGATTTGGAACAGAAGAAGAAACCTTTACTATGACATCCACAAGAAAGGATAAGTTGATTAATTAGGTTTTAATGAAACCAGGACCACTTGGTTTAAAGATATGGTGGCAGAGAAATGAATAAATGCACCAATCTCTTTGATTAAAATTACACAACCAGCAATGTCCACAAGTCCTTAGGTCCCATATTAGACAGCATCACATGATTCTGTCTTAGCAATTCAAAGTCATTCTGAAGCCTCAACTATATATAATCTCTTTCCATGAGCCATTTTTATCATCAAGCAGATAGCACTAAATCAATCTTTTAAAAGATCATCAACTTTTCTTTCCATTATTTCAAACAAATCAACATGATCAGTGCTAAGAAACTCATCAAGATGGCAAGGAAATGGCAGAAGTTCGCAGCGAATCAGAGGAAGAGAATTTCTTTTCCAAGATCCAATTACAATGATGCAGAGAGTTGCAGCACAACATGTATAGTTGACAAAGGTCATTTTGTGGTGTATACAACTGATCAGAAGCGATTTGTGGTTCCGTTGGCTTATCTTCAAAACGAGGTAATCAGACAACTGTTGCACATGTCTGAAGAAGAGTTTGGACTACCAAGTGATGGCCCCATCACGTTACCGTGTGATGCACTATTCATGAACTACATTATATCACTTATCAGAAGAGGTGTATCTACAGATTTTCAAAATGCTTTGCTTGTAACAGTCGCTTCCAGTCGATGCTCAGCAGCTTCATATCTTGAAGAACAAAGAAACCCGCAAGTGCTAGTTTGTTAAGCTAACTGTGATAAATTTTGTAACATGATACTCAACAAGTGTATAGAATATTAACATCTATTTTTTAATCAGAAACTACATATTCTTGCCTTCAAATTGGTCTATTCCATTATAATTTAGGAAATTCACGTTTCTTTTTATAGGCTTCCTAATAGTCTTGCACCGCAAATATCTATCTTGTGGCTTTCACATCCAGGGGATAAGGAAATTTTCCCAATTCATAGAAATTTATGTCAAAATCTTGTTCTTTCAATCAAGGTAAAAGTGAACTTTTCTCTAAAAGACAATTGACAAAATTGCAAAAGTATGCACCAGCTTTTTCAGATTCTGCGAAAGACTAATTTCAACTAAGATGATCTAGTAATTTATTTCTTGCTAATCTTGTCCTTTGAGTAAATTTAAAAACAATTTTAACTATCAAGTTTCAATTTACAAGCAATTACAATAATAATAGCCGAACATTGTGAAGTCCAAAATAACTTATTAATGTTGTATATTGAAAAAGGAAGTTAATCCTTTCCTTCCACTCCTGTTCCGCAGTCGATCTACGAGAAAAAAGTAAAGAAAAAAGGTTCCAACATAGAATGCATTTACTGTTTTATGTATTTTACTCCTCAGCACGATGCATATTCAACTGGCCAAGCTAAGAACTAGAAAGCGTTGCGCGTTTCTTTAAGAATCCACAGTATATCATTTATTTGTTTGATGGAATGAATGAACAAAGAAGAGTCTATAAAGTAGATTAAAGATCTAAAACTGAAAGTTTTGCTGTTTGAAAATGGAAAGATATGATAAAAGAGCAACCTTTAGAGCAATATAAAGGAGTAAATTCAGAAATCTAAATAGATAACCTGTTAACACATAGTCTTTGTGAAGGTTTTTTTTTTTTTACAATGAAATTTCTGTTTCTACAATCTCCTCTTCATAATTTCTAATCCTATTGCTTTACAAAATATCATTCATTGAAGAATTTGCGCTATGATAATACTCATGATCTTCTTAAGTGGGAAGTAAGATCAACGAACACATTCTCTTTGCAACGTATTGTGAGACCACCCATCGGATGATCAAAGTGAAACTCTTCTTCAGTCTGAGCTAACAAGTCTTGAAATAAAGGCTGGCTCAAGTAAGAGACTGGCACAACGAATCTCTTCTTCTGGCTCTCTCCTACGTATACTGCACAATGTCCTTTTGGAACATCTCCATATGTTGAAGACCTCCTTAAGAACCGATTTGCTTGAACAAATGGAGTCACTTTGATACCCATTGTTTCAAGGGATATTTTGTAATACTAAATGATGAAGGAAAAGAAAGAAAAAAAACTTGGAGGATCACGGATAAAATGAAAGTTCTTTGAATGTCAGGATACTTGTGTTAGACTGAAATGTTTGGCTCTGATTATATATAAATTTATGACAAGTTTCACATCCAAATGTTTAGTGGTTGAGGGAAATTGGTGGCAACTGGATAGACAATGGCACATGAAATTTCACATGGTTTGCCTTCTCTTTTGTTGTTAAAGTATTCAGATCATAAATTTGTTAGATGTACAACATTAGGCCCTGCTACTTCTTATTATTTGGAACAAAAGAAGAAACCTTTACTATGACATCCACAAGAAAGGATAAGTTGATTAATTAGTCCAGGACCACTTGGTTTAAAGATATGGTGATAGAGGAATGAATAAATGCACAACCAGCCATGTTCACAAGTCCTTAGGTTTAGGTCCCATATTAAACAGCATCACATGATTCTGTCTAGCATACTTCTTCCAGGTTGGCAACTTTAGCTACAATTCAAACTCTCAACTATATATAATCTGTTTCCGTGAACCGTTCATCATCAAGAAGATAGCACTAAATCAAATCTTTTAAAAGATCATCAACTTTTTCCTTCGATATTCCAAAGAAATCAGTATGATAAGCGCCAAGAAACTCATCAAGATGGCAAGGAAATGGCAAAAGTTTGCAGCTAAGCAGAGGAAGAGAATTTCTTTTCCAAGATCCAATTACAATGATGCAGAGAGTTGTAGCACATCATCTTCTATAGTTGACAAAGGTCACTTTGTGGTGTATACAACCGATCAAAAGCGATTTGTGGTTCCATTGACTTATCTTCAACACGACGTAATCAGACAACTGTTGCACATGTCTGAAGAAGAGTTTGGACTTCCAAGTGATGGCCCTATTACATTACCATGTGATGCACTGTTCATGAACTATATCATATCACTCGTCGAAAGAGGTGTAGCCACAGATCTTCAGAATGATTTGCTAATTTCTGTACCTTCCAATCGATGTTCATCGGCTTCATATCTTCAAGAACAACGAAATCTAGAATTGCTAGTTTGTTAAGCTAACTGTAACATTTTTTTTAGTAGATACATGGTACTAAACAAATGTATAGAATGTTAACATTTATTATTCATCAAAAACACCATTTTCTCCAACTTATTCTATTCCTTGCGTTGTTTGCAAAGTTGTTTGATACGGGTAACAGGTACTATGTAGAATAGTTGAGGTGCGCATATAATTTTCAAAAGTACAGTATGAGTTTAGTGCCAAAAACCTTAATGGATAAACATCAATTTTAAATCATAAATTGATCTACCAGCTTTGAGTCCTCAACTCTTCATTCAAAGGACTCAAATTATTGGCATTGGTGAGAAGTCATAAGCATGAATTGATCACATAACTTATAATTTAATTTGAAATCCAGTACATAAATTTTCTTGGAATAAACAGTGTATTACTAGTAGCAATTAGACAATCAGTAATACGTACAATAAAATAAAGTCACGGCTTCAATCACATCTCTGACAACTTTGATAAATACATTTCAAAACCAAATATTTGCAAGCAATTGATAAACTTACCAGTAAACAGGTTCTTACATGAGTTCGTAAATAAAGAAGAGAAAAAGAAACACGTCTTGGCCATATATAAGCAAATCTTAAATAAGTAATTTTGGAGAGATCAAACTTTTTGTATAAACAATTCCTTCCTGGAAGAAACATTGAGGCGATAATCCAAATTGTCCTTTGGACGTCCTTAATACTTGACTAGGCATGTCAAGTCTACAATGTAGTAGCACTTCATCATCTACCTACCTATATTCGGTTAGGCAAAATAAATATTGGAAGCACGTAAATGTAAACAATTCGATCCAAGATTCCACAACATTATAGTATTTCATTCCCCCACAATTGAAAAGTGACGCATTCCCAATTTCGAAATGCCATAATTGGAGCTCTGTATGTGGTGAACTCTATATGATGATTATCACGACCCAGTGTCACACCCCTTTTTGCGCACGGTGGCGGAAAGGTTTTTCCAATTTAAGTGACGTTATTGATTAAGGGATTATTTTTAATTTTCAGAGTCGCCACTTGGAATTGATTTATGGTGTTCCGAGTCACCTTTTTGTTTAATCCCTAATCATAAGGAAATGACTCTTTATTTGGTCTGCAAATCAGAAATTCGGGTAAGGAATTATGTTGACCGAGGAGAAGGTATTAGGCATCCCTCGAGTCTCGTGGTTCTAGCACGGTCGCTTTTATTGACTTATACTTATCTTGATATGTTTTTGGATAATTTGTGTCTATATGCCATGGTTTGCTTATTTTTTAATTATTGAATTTTTATTAGTCTTAAACCGGATGCATAACTACATTCTCGGTCTTGACATTCGGAGACATAACTGTCTTCCCCTCTCGAGTTCATCACACCTCATAATCTCAATTTACACCTCTTGGTTTGAATTAACAAAATTAATTATTAAAATAATTTGGCCAAGGTGCGTAACCGCATCCTTGAATTTATTAAGAATCTCAAAAAGATGTGGAACCACATTCTTAATTGAGATGAAATTTATTTATTATTATTACACGAACTAACAAAATTAAAAACATATATATTTATTTTAATACATAATGAGTTATTCTTATAATAGTTGTCAATATACTGCATTAAAAATATTTCCTTAACTATTAGAATAAATAGTTTCAACAAACTGAAGATCTTAATTGTTTAGTGATATGCAAGATTCAAACAATTATATTTCGACATTATAATATCACAATTAAACACACATAAAATTCGAGAAATTTCATAACATTGGAATCAAGTATTATATAATCATGAAAATTAAATTATACATGAAAAAAAGAAGTTATATGGTACCTCTTGCGAAATCAATTCACGAAAAAGAAAAAACAATCCTAATAAGGAACCGCGAACTCGAAACCACGAAAGTGAACCTCAACCTCAAATTTTGGTGAGTGAGAGAAAACATATAAATAAAATGTGAGTTCTTTTTTCCTAGCATTTTGTGTGTCCGTATATTTTTTTTTTGTAGTGTGCAAATTGTATGCTGCTGACTCCTTTTTCTTTTATGCCTTTTCTTTTGTTGATCCTATAGCGTGAGTGTGTACTTTTCTTTTTGAGTTTTTTTTTTTTTTAACGAGTCGTGTGTATTGCTTAATTCAAGAATATAAGTTTTTTTTTCACACAAGACAACTACCGACTCAAGAGAAATTATTTTATATGTGGTGCAAATAGTTTTTTTTAATTGAAACAAAATAACAAAATGAATTAAATGAATTTTAACTTTAAGTACTAATTAAGCAAAAATACATATACAATTCATGAATAGAAATTGCCAACAGACTAACACATTTTTGTATTTTTTTTAGTTATTTTTTTTAGGAATTCGAAAGTATTTCAAAGAAAATAATCCCATTTACTTGTTATTTGAATTGGTCATCAACAAATGGAATATTGTTTATAGGTGTCAAGTAAATGTTCTTATTTAATTTTTTAATTCTTTAATTAAGCAATATTTGTAAATAAATGAAAACAACTAAATACTTTTGGAGATAAAAAAAAATATTGTGAAATACTAATAGTTGAACTTGTCATGAGTATCTTTTAACTTACATGATGATATAGAGGTTTTCACATACTCACAATCTACCAAAGTTAAACTCAAACAAAATAAAGTGACTATCCACATATTGTATATCAAGAAAATTGAACCTTTGAGCGTGTAAGAGATAATCATGTATTATACCATTGTTA